CAAATGTAATTTAAAAATAATTAGTTAGAATAAGGTGAATCCCAGTGGCTGTCTCTATTGAAATACATAGAACTGTGTTCTTCACCCAATTCATTGCTTTTTCTATAATGAGATTGTTTTATGTTAAGAAGTTTCCTCATATCAAAGATTGCACAGTAAGGATGATAGTTTGAGACGGGAGAAATTGATGAGTGCCAGAACAGAGACTTCCAAGGTTTTCTAAAAGTGAAAACTCTATGGGTTAAACTCATCTCTTCTCATGGCCCCATTGCCGAGACTCCTGGGTTGAGTTCCCCTGACTCAGTAAGTTTAGAACACAAGGCCTGGGTCTCTGCATTACTAACAAGTACACCATATGATTCCAAGACAGGAACTCCTGAGACCGTTTCAGGAGAAAGCTGGAGAGTATAAGACTTCTAATAGCATAATTATTTTTACTTTAGGAATTTCAATAAGAAAGGCCTTCTTAATAGGTATGATGGTTAATAACTAACTGTCCATCATTCAAATGCGGTCTTATTTACATCAAGTTTTGCTCCAGAAGGCCGTCTTCCTTCCTGTCTCCTTTGCTTTCCTTAACCCAGCACTACCTACCTGCTCTTAGGATCTTTATCACATCTATCACCTTCAGCTATTAAGCAAGAAGCAACACAAGCTTTGCAACTGTATTGCTTAAACAGCATGCTTTCTCTTTGCACTGTTATCACACTAAAAAATAGCAGCCAGCCTAAGGTAAATCAAATTCTTAATTACTCAGTTGCTTTATTTACAAATATTGAAATCTCTTCAGGGAGAGACGTGAGTAGACGCAAGCTACCAGTCCATGTTTTTAAACTTCATCATTTTTCTGCCTGTTTCAGCCATCTCTTATTCGTTTCCCTGTCTCCTTACCCTGCACCTCTTTTTGCGTTTAATAAAAGATAATTTGTAATAAAGTAAAATCATAATGCTCATGCAGATATGAAAATAAAAGCTAAAAAATTTTAAAGATTTTAAAAATACATTATCAGTAAAGAAACTGATTAAGATATTACAATCAGTTCCAAGGAGAATCCAAAGAATAGACACGTCTACACATGAGGAACACTGAAAGAAGTGTGCATATGGAAGCAACACTAGATTCATCCATGGTGGAGGAGGGAAGGCACTAGAACCTCAGCCATGTAGAATTTGCTTGTCTGCAGACAATAATTATTTGTTGTAAGGAGACAGTGCCTTTATTTCTAGGCAAAGACAAAAAAAATATCTGGCAACCTACATTAAAGGATGATTAAATGTGTCTTGGAAGTTAGAGATAGTGAATTGCTTTGAAGAGATTTAAAGGCTTATCTCCTCCAGATGCATTTGCTTATTTTCTAAGAGTAATAAAAGCCTAAGGACTTGTATCTTCTCTCCTCTAAAGAAAATTTGTGACATTCTAGAGTCAAAGTCTCTCTGTCACTTTATAGAGGGGATGAAGAGAGAATGTGCCAGACACCCTCTGTAAGTCCAAGCTTCATAATTTTGTGATTCCTCTCTTACGGTGCAACTCAAGCATGCACCGCTATGTCTAGCACTCACTGCATCTGCACATGGGAAACTGAGGTATGAGGGATTGATACTTACGAGATTCTCTATGAGCAAATGGTCCCTGATTCAGAAGTCCTCTGTATGTGTTAGTACAGATTAGATAGGTAGGTAGATAGATTGATAAACAGATAGATAAAATCTGTGCATGGGCAAGATAACTCCTTAACTCGCAGGTAGGGTAACATCTCAGGGCCCTTCACACTTTCAGACTCAACATTATTTTGCAATTTTATTAGCTATCTACAATTTATAGAATTATTTTGTTTTTGTTTTTTTAAGACGGAGTCCCTCTCTCTTGCCCAGGCTGGAGTGCAGTGGTATGATTTCAGCTCACTGCAACCTCTGCCTCCTGGGTTCAAGGGATTCTTCTGCCTCAGCCTCCCGAGTAGCTGGGACTACAGGCATGCACCACCATGCCCAGTTAATTTTTGTATTTTTTTTTTTTTTTTTTTTTTTTTTTTAGCAGAGATGGGCTTTCACCATATTGGCCAGGCTGGTCTCGAACTCCTGACCTCATTATCTGCCCACCTTGGCCTCCAAAAATGCTGGAATTACAGGCACGAGCCACCATGCCGGGCTGATTTATAGAATTATGTAATACCTCAGAGGCAACAAAAATATCAGAGCCACCACAGACTCTAAATCAGGTAACCTAGGAGGTTGTGCTCTAATCTAGACAATGCATTGGTTTTTATTCATTCATTTATTCCCTCATTTCTTTAACAAATGTCTTCTGCATTTTGTATCAAGCCTTGTGCTATGTGCTGGAGATATGATTGTTAGCAGATCAAACTACTGTGGTTCTCATAGAGCTTGCAGACTGGTGGGAAAGACCAATAAAATCAACGACTAAGTATTGAATTACAAATTGTGATGAAGTCTATGTCTTTTACCACTCTTATTTCTAGACAGGTATTTGTAGAAACTTAAGATCACCCAATCATGTCTGAAAGAACAGTGAAGAAACTCTAATTTGAGGCTTTTCAGAGATTTCCAGATGAGCTTTGGAATCTACCTTTTAAGGCATCTATCTCTGTTGCTCAAAGTCTATTGTGATAATTTGATTCTCTGTTCTGCCCTGGAAATCTAGATGGCCTGAAAAGTGTGGCATCTGTTTAACATCATACCTTGTGGTGCTTTTTATTAGAGAATAAAATCACTTACAGGAACTATCATAATATTGAAATATTTTAGAATTTTAAAAGGAAACATTTATATGAGCTAGTCTGTAATGGCTGCCATGCACTGTGGCCTTGGATCTCTTGCAACACCTTTAAAAACCTTTAGAATCAGGTGTTAATTGTGACCCACTGGATGCAAAACTACAGGGAAGTCTCTCTCAGTGTGATCCAGAAGGGGAAAGAGACAAAGGCTTCAAGCAGGTGTATTGTCTGCCTCTCTTGGTAGCTACTCAGCCAGAGTTAAGCTTCTTCTCCCAAACCATTGATTTACCACAAGAAAAGGTGAATAGTTTCTTTGAACAATAGAAACAGAGTCCAACAGAGGCTAGGCTGTCAGATTTGTCTAGTTAATAATAACCTTAAACTTCTAATAGCCAAGGTTGAGTTGGCTCAAATTATAGAATTTCAGACCTTGTTCTGCCAATTTAATTTCCAGATTCGGAAAGGAGGCTCAGATTTGTTTTACCTGACTTTCCTAAGGGCACAAGATCCATGCCAGATCTGCACCTTTAGATCTCTTGATGACTTTGACATTGTACCGCTGGCCATCAGTAATTTCATCAGGTTGTGGATTAAGTTCTCTTTGAGAGTGTTCTACGATAAAGGGTCAACTGAAATGCAAGGGGGAAATACAAAAATAACAGCTGTTGTTTCACAGAAAAATAGGAATCCACACTTGGAAGGCAGTAAGGCTGTGAAGTTAGTCCTGCCTTGTTTAGCCTGCCTCTCTAGTCCAAATTCTGATGACTGGGAAAGGGTTGGGAATGAAATTTTCAAAGTATACCTCCTTATTTTGATTGTTGATCCATGTGAATGTCTTAGATAAAAAGCCGGGGTCCCAGGACTTTGGGAGGCACAGGCGTGTGGATCACGAGGTCAAGAGATCGAGACCATCCTGGTCAACATGGGGAAACCCCATCTCTACTAAAAAAAAAAAAAAAAAAAAAAAAATTAGCTGGGCATGGTGGCGCGTGCCTGCAATCCCAGCTACTCAGGAGGCTGAGGCAGAAGAATTGCCTGAACCCAGGAGGCGGAGGTTGCAGTGAGCCGAGATCACGCCATTGCACTCCAGCCTGGGTAACGAGAGCAAAACTCCGTCTCAAATAAATGAATGAATGAATGAATGAATGATGGGGAGGGGGGAGTTTTTCCTACTGTTACTATTTTTCTCCAATCTGGGATATTCTACTGCAATATAGAAGAGTTGTGGGACTTAACAGCACATATATAGTGGAGTTTTGACAACTTTCAATCTGTTTTTTGCCTACTAAATCAGAGGCTTTTTGATTCATCTGTTCTTTGTCTGCATATATCACAGAAAATAGAGTATAAAGTCTATTTCTGGTAAAGTTGAAAGGACAGATATCATATGCCTATCATCTGTTACAAACATTGTGGAATTTTTATTTCATCTAAGAAATTTTGGTAATCAGTATGATGGAACTGTTTGTGGACATTCAGGTACTAATGTTAAGTTGGGTAGATACTCCAAGATATTTTACTTTTGTGTTAGTTGAGATGCTGTGTCAGAGTCAGATTTGTTCAGTTCAAAAAAAGTAACTTCCTATTGTACTGCCTAACTGTGCAGATCACATGATATCAACACGACTATTTCTAATTCAATTTTAAAAAGACGCACACTGGTCATTCAATGTTGACTAAAGACAGGTATGTAGAGCTATAAAATTTTGACTTTATTTTTGCTGATACCATGAATAGTTGTTGAATAGAAAAGTCACTGGTTATTTTATATAATAGAAAATATTTCATAAATTCTAATATGCACAATTTTTTCATATTGTGACATTACTGGATTTTGGGTATGTCAATGATGAATAAATAATACTTTGCAGTTATAACAGGCAGCATTTTTTCCTTTCTTGCAGTGAAATAAAATAATGATGCATCTTTGAAAAGATGGAATATCAGATTCAGTGAAATAAAATACCTCCTAAAAAGTAATCAGATTTCCAAATATTTTTCATCATAAATATTGTGTGGCTGAATTATATGAGAAAGCTAAAAAAAAATCACTGTAAATGTATGGCAATAGTATATATTTCAGGAAAAATCACTTTCTATAATTTAAAAATTCTGAGAATCCATTTGTGTTGATTCTACCTCTCAGAGAGGTTTGATGACTAGAAAAATTTGACTCAGATAAAAGGTGATTTTGATTTTCTTTATTTATTTTAACTTTTGCAGACTAGTGATGGTCTCCTCTCTTTCTCCCCCATTTCTGCATACAAGAAACTGCATGGACCATCATACAGCACAACGGCTCTGACTTAACAAGAGTCAGAAATACTAATCCAGAGAACCCATATGCTGGGTTTTTCAAGTATGTGGCCAGCATGGAGCAACTCCAGGCCACTATTAACCGTGCGGAACACTGTGAACAGGAGCTTACTTACTACTGCAAGAAGTCACGGCTCGTCAATAAGCAAGGTAAATAAACCATACACATCATGTCATGCATGCACTCAGCTGGTTCCTGAGGATTTTAATTCTGCAAAGTGGTGGCATATAGCTACTGAGGGTGTAGGATCTCGCATACTTAGTACACATGTCACAGTCTGGAAGTCACAAAGATGCTTTTGCCTGAAGAAAAGAACAAGGTCAATTTACACTAAGCTTTATTCAAAGCCTTGATTGCTTTTAAACCCTCTTCCTGGTCTTAATTGGATAACTATACAGCAAATGCCTCCTTCTGATACTCAGTGAATGCACAGTGTTTATCCCTGATAAAGGGCAAGTGACATACAAGGCTTGTTTTATCATGGAAAACAGCTAATAAAAATATGGCTTAGTTTTCTCAAAGTGAGTATTCTATGTGCCTCTTTTTCATGGATTGTTGACAGCCTCTGGGTATAATTGAAAATTAGAAAAGACTGCCAGAAACACAGTTGATTCACTAGTTCAAGGAGAAATCAGAAAAACACCTTAACTCTTTATTTGATTCTACTATGAATAACCAGTCTGCCCCTGAGTTCTGGTTTTGGTTTTATGTTTTCTTTCTTTAGAGCATCTCACTATGTCAGAGCCTCTGTCCTACCACATCTGCCTTAGAGTAGGCCTTAATGAGCTAATTCTTGAAGTTACTGCAAGAGCTTTCCAACTTGCCTCCCAGCTTGCCATCTCTTCCATCTTCTAACCATCCAGTGCAAAATCCAAAATATTACTCCCTGTGAAGTAACTTAACCTTTTAAGAATGCTGCTCCCACTTTAAAGAAACACGGTTCTATTTAAGAAACTGCTGCATTTCTGTTTTTTGTCTGTCCTTCACAGCCTTTTCTGCTGGATTCTGGAATTGCACATTCTGTGTCCACCCTGCTTATGCAACCTTCATGCCACCCTCCCACACATATTTTCTAACAGTGGCATTGAAGGGTATTTTTTCTATGCATGTTAGAGAAGATTTAAGACATCTGTACAATAAAGCCACTTCTTTCATGTTCGCTCCTGCTTGTCCTAAGAGGGGTTGGAGTTCCAGATAGAATGACAAGAATTTAAGGAGAAATTTGTTTCATATAGGAATAGTGTATGTCATAGAGATCATGCAAAAATGCTGAACTGTTGTTCTGACATTTGAACGCTGCTTTTCCGATTAAGCCTCCGTTTACTCTCCACCCACTAAAAATCAGATCATTTTCTCCCCTATGACTGAACTCCCCCTTGCCCTTCCTCTCTTTTTGCTTCTCCTCCTTTTCCTCTTCCAGAATGTTCTCATTTGGCCTCTACTCCTCTAATCCCATCTTGCTGGTACCCACCCAAAGCTTATCTCCTGAAACCTCAATTCTGTGTGCAATTGAGGACCAGACAGTTGTAGTGTGAACAGCATAGGATTTACAGCTGGAGGTGTGGGTGTGTTTGTCGTTGGTTAGGTGCATCTAGAACTTAGATAGATGAAACTTTGATTCATGAAATGGATGAATGGTTAATGAATCTCAGTCTTTGTTTTCTTTTCTCTGAAATGGGGCCAATGATACCAGCCTCATAGGGATACAGTGATGATTAGGTGGCACAGCACATACAAAGTGCATCAAGTGATTCCCTCTCATTTCCAGCTCTTCTGGGCGTTGTGGCCATAGTGAACATACACAGTTTAGTATGTAATGTGTTGTTCATTGTTGCTGAATACTCATCTTAGAATAAAAAAGCTGATAAGCAAATATGGAAGAGTATTCTAAGAAGAATAAGAATGATAATTATGGAAGGGTAAATGAATGCTATGGAACAAAAGGAATTCAGTCATTATGTGGAAAAGGAGGTCATGCAGTATTTGTCTTTCAGTGTTTGGCTTGTTACACTTAGTATAATGCCTTTCATGTTTATCCTTTTTGTCACAAATGGTAGGACTTCCTTCTATTTAAGGGTGAATTATATCCTCGTGTGTATGTGTGTGTGTATCACATTTTCTTTATCCATTCATCAATGGACACTTAGGTTTTTTCATCTCTTGCTATTGTGAAAAAAGCTGTAATAAACATGGGAGTGAAAACATCTCAAGATAGTGAAGGATGTTATACTGAGTGAAATAAGCCAGATACAGAAAGACAAATATTTCCGGATCCCACTTATATATGGAATCTAAAAGAGTTGAACTAGTAGAAACAGAGTAAAAGAGTGGTTTCTGGGGGAGGGGGTTGGTATGGAGATGTTGGTCAAAGGGTACAAATTTGCAGTTATAAGATGAATACATTCTGGAGATGTAGTATACAGAATAATGACTATAGTTGACAACAATGTATTCTTTTACACTTGAAATTTGCTGAGAGTAGATCTTAGTATTCTCACCATAAAAATATAAAGTGGCTATGTGAAGTGGTGAATATGTTAATTAGTGTGATTGTGGTAATCATTTTACTGTATACATGAAAACATTGCTTTGCACACATTAAATGTATACAATTTGTGTTTGTCAACTTTACTGCAAAGCTGAAAAATAAAACATAAGAAAATATAAAAGGAAGGATGGTTATCAAAGTTGACAAAGAAGTCAAGCTGTAATAGAACTAGAAAGCAGAATCCGTGAGGGACTGGTGAGCAAACACCACCCAGAATAAAAGGGGTTGATGAGGATTGACTGTGTCCTCACCCAAATCTCACCTTGGATTGTAATAATTCTTACATGTCAAGAGCAGGGCCAGGTGGAGATAATTGAATCATGGAGTGGTTTCTGCCATATTGTTCTCATGGCGGTAAATAAGTCTCATGAGATCTTATGGTTTTTTTTTTTGTTGTTGTTGTCGTTGTTCTGGCTGCTCCAGTACTTCCAAGCAGACACTCTGGAGCCCAGAGATCTTATGGTTTTATAAATAAGAGTTCCCCTGCACAAGCTCTCTTGCTTGCCACCATGTAAGATGTGACTTTGCTATTCCTTGCCTTCCACCACAATTGTGAAGCTTCCCAGCCATGTGGACCTATGAGTCCATCAAACCTCTTTTCTTTATAAATTACCCAGTCAGGTATATGTTTATTAGCTGCATGATGATAGACTAATATAGGGATTGACACAGAATGTGAAGGAATCCCCATCTTTAAGGCCAGTTGTGCCTGTGAACTTTTAAAGAAAATGCTTCCCTGGTGTTTCAGACTCAAGAACCAGTTTTAGAAAGTCAACTCCAGAAAGGTGTGGAACAGGGGATACTAATCTTGGCTAAATACACACACATTTTTTTCTCAGGTTGGTGACCTCATGATTCATATAGGATAGATTTGAGGTGGAGAGACATAAAAGAGAGGGAACAATTGGATTCTGAGGTCACAGTAAGAAATATAATGGGGAAGAACAGGAAGTTATTTTCAGACAAGCTATATTTAGAGTTTCAGATCTTGGTGATTTAGTGTCAAGTGATAATGATGCCATATGTGAATGAATAAAGTGAAATGTGTATGAAAATATGTTTTCAGCTGCTGAGGATCTGTGACTCAGCACATAGGAAGGATGATCAATGGGAAGGCTCAAGTCATTTAGGATTTTAATTACGGGAAGTGGAATGTTCTACCATATCCACGGTTATCTTTTACCTTTAATTTTTATTTCTCAGGATTTAAAAAATTCATTTCTATACTTATTTAAATTCCTTGATAAATTTTTTTAAAAGTCTTGGATTGAACCAAAGTCTGATACCTTAAAAAACATTCAGTGATGTTTATTTTATAGGGAAGACAAGAAATTTAAATGTGGAAATATGGTTTGGTATTTAAGAATAACTATTTTTCTTTCTATTCTATGAAAACATAATGTTTTCAGCAGTATATTGAAATATATTTATTAAGTGTTTCAAGTAATTTTCACCTTCTGATGAAGGGTTAATCAAGTAATTAAAAAAAGATGAAGATTCTTCAAATTAATGTATTTATGCATAACACAGCTTCTGATAAGTCTTTCCTTTTTTTTTTTTTTTTCTGATGTGGCCAGACTGGCTCGTGTAATAATCCTGGGAGAGAGGTTGTCAGCATTAGCAAAAAGGGGCTATCTAATAGTAAGTTAAAATGAGCATTGGCATTTGTAAGCAAGGGAGAAATTTGTAAAAAATCCCAGATGCTCAATAGGGCTAATGGTGACAACTTAAAGGTTTGAAAGTCGACAGAAAAATAATCAAGCACCTTTGAGAAGCTGACTGATTCGACGTTGCTTACATTCTTCTCATTCCCTGATTCTCAGATGACTACAATTTATCCCATACTTGTTTTTTTCCATGATAGATTGGCTAAATGCTTCACTTCCTTTTCTGAAAATCCTTGCCTAGACGTTCTGTTTGTTCCGTGCTCTAGTTCCTTGGCATTATGTTTAGTCTTAACTCTGAAAAGGAGCTGGTAGCTGAACATTTACTGTAGAAAGAGATGCATTTAGCTGAGGGAAACTTTTTTTGAGTGTAATATTCACTTCCATCATGAAGATTTTTCAGTGTTATTTCTGTAGTCTTTAAATAAATAGCAAAGCCATTAAATGGAAGATAAAGTATATACTTCCAAATAATTATTAAATCATGACAGGGGAGTGCCAAATCATGCCTAATGTTTATTAAACAGCTAGGATAATTTTAGACAATAAATTTATTAAGATAAATCAGGGACTTTACATAACATTCCATAATGCTTTAATGGGCTTTTCATGATTTCAAATCAATTTTGCTTTGGTATGTTAATTACTATGATTTATATTTTGATGCTAACTTGTTTCAAAATTACTTTTAAAGAAATTGTGTATGTGAGCTGCTCTCAATCCATTTTTAAGTATCATGCCTAAGTTAAATAGAAACTGCTGTGTTTTTTCTACTCAAGAACAAATGTCATTTAAGCCTAAAAACCAACTTTTTTATATAAAAAAAAAGTTGTCTTAAGGAAATGCCATCAATTATACTGTTTTGTGTAAACTTAAATCAATCTTTCTCTCTTTCTCCTTTTATTCTTTTGGAAGAAAGGGAATTTATACTGGGAGATAAGGTGATGGGACATAAAGCCGATGTCACATTTCTCACGTTTATCTTTCAGATGGAACCCCTCTGAGTTGGTGGATAGGAAGAACCAATGAAACACAAACCTACTGGGGAGGTTCTTCACCTGATCTTCAAAAATGTACTTGTGGATTAGAGGGAAACTGCATTGATTCTCAGTATTACTGCAATTGTGATGCTGACTGGAATAAATGGTGATTTCTATATGATTTCTTTATGCAAGGAAAAGTTTATTTAAAAAAATTAATCACTCAGTATATAGCCAGATACTGAACAAGTTAGTGCAATGAAGGGATTAGATAAAGGTATGTTTTGATGAAACTTGGTATTCTCAATAAAATCCTAAGTATTAAGTTAGTGCCTTTTTGAGTTATTTTCTGTAATGGACCATAAGTTATGTACATTTAAATTTGATAATCAAATAGAGATATCTGTTACATGGGGAATTAATTATTATTCCATTTAAAACTATATATTAATAGGTATTCTGTTATCTTGAAAGTATATCTACAGCCAAAGCACATTTCTTCAATAATCTACCTATAAAATCTTTAAAATTTACTATAGTTATAATGCATTTCTTTTATATTTTTAGAAAGACAAATCATACCACAAAGAACTAATGTTCTGTGGGTTATATTTTGAAAAATGAAATCAGTAACATTTTAGGAATTTTAAAATCAAATTTAAAATATTTCTCTAAGTAGAAAAGCAGCTTATATAGGTGTTCTTTATCTGAAAACTTTAAAAAAGACATTGATAGTATTTGAGTTGGCATGTCTACTGATCTTATTTGTTATTTGTAAAGTGAAAATATTTTAAATGTTTATGTCTACTTTCAGCATAACGTATGTATATGTTACATTGCTGAGCAACTGAACCTGTACAGAAGACTTATTCTTAACAAATATTCATAGTCAATCTGGATGTTGATATGAGTGATGTTGTTACAGAAGGCACATTGATTACAGTGATAAATCTGCTATTAATTGAGGTTGTAATTTGAATTAGGTAATATTTATTTAGTTGGGAAACCTCAAGATTATGTTATATATATGTAGTTCTTTCGGAATAGCACTTCTAGTGTTGCATGTTTGGTAAAAAGAATAGTGTCTCTCTTACTCAAACTCTCATTTTCAAAATTTCTACTCCCTTTGGAAGGTACACTTTTCTTCTCACTACCTTCACAAAAAATGCTATACAGTAATATTGTATTTTAAAATATAAATAGAAGTCTAGTAGTAATGCTTAACAACAGTAAAAATTTACCTAATCATCAATAACTCCCCAATGCTTCCATAACATATTGCTAATTAAAAATGACTTTAAAAAATAAGATTGTAAAACTTCTCATATTGAATTCTGCTAATGATGAAGTAACTTGCATAGAACTAACCCTTCTCAGATAATTGTTGTAAATACAGGAAAAAATGTTATCAAAACAACCACTTGAAATAAGCAAAGAGCAACCAAATGTAGGCAGAAACTGCCCATGTGTTTACAGCAAAGAGTGATCTCAGATCTGAGTGACAGGATTGCAAACTAAGCAAAAGTCACGCAGGCTCTAACTAATGAATTGCCAAACCAAGCAATGGCAATTTATTGTGATAACGTTGTGATTTAACTGCCTATGAAACAAAAATGAAATCTTTAAAGAATAACAAGATCCAGAAGCTTTAGAATGTATCCATGATCTACCACGTTATAACAATTACTGAATATTCAGAAAAGAGTACATTTTGATCTAAAGTCAAGAAATTAAGAGCAGTTATTATAAAGAAACCTTGGGGTACTGATGTTTGAATTGTCAGAAAGAAATTTTACAGCAACTATTATAAAAACATTTGCAGACTTAAAGACAAAAATAATCACAATGTGTAAACAAAGGATATTTTAAGAAGACAGGTGAGAACTATAAAATGGAACAAAATGTAAATTTTAGAATAGAAGAGAGCATCTGAAATAACAAATTGTAATAGAAATTCTTCAGGCTAAACAGAAATAACGGATGAAAACTCAGATCTTCAGGAAGAAATAAAAAGCATTGGAAATTGAAAATATGTTGGTAAATATAAAAACCAGTGTTTAAATTATTTTCTTTATTAAAAATTAAATTTACTGTTTAATTTTATTATAAAGTTTATAACACATGCATTTAAAATATATTACAACAACTGAACAAAGAATAAGTATGCATGTGGGGGATGGAGCAATGTTAAATGAATTATCCCCTGGCAAGCTATGGACATTTTGGTTGTTAAAAAACATAATATATAAATAGCTGTGATAAAGTAAGAATTTATTTTATAATCTGTAAAGCAAACATTAAAATATAATAAACAAATAAGCTAAAAAGTGAACAGAGAAAATAAAACGAAATACAAAAAGTATGGAATACACCAAGAGGAGGCAGCAAGGGAAAACAGAAATACAAGAAATCATGTGAGAGAAACAAAAGAAACAGCAAAATGATAGACCTCAAACAGCAGTACCCATCATTACACTAAATGTTAATGTATTAACCAATTTCAGTCAAAAGGTAGAAAATGGTCTATTGAATTGGAAACTCTCCCATTGTGTTCTGTTTTTAATGGTATGCTATATTTTATATTCTCTATTACATACTTTCTACAAGAGACATTAAAATGGCATTGTTTTGACCAGGCAGAGTGGCTCTTGACTGTAATTCCAGCACTTTAGGAGGCCGAGGCAGGCAGATCACTTGAGGCCAGGAGTTCAAGACCAGCCAGGCCAACATGGCAAAACCCTGACTCTTCCAAAAAAATACAAAAGTTAGCTGGGTGTGGTGGTGCACATCTGTAATCTCAGCTACTTGGGAGGCTGAGGCACAAGAATGGATTGAACCCAGGAGGAGGAAGTTGCAGTGAGCCAAAATTGTGCCACTGCACTCTAGCCTGAGAGACAGAATGAGACCCTGTCTCAAAATAATAATAACAATAAATAACAAATTTAAAAAATTATATGTCATTCTGTTTTTATGTGCCCAGATGAGTGATGGGATCCTTACTCTTTTGTGCGTGCAAATTTAGTTAAGAACATCTTGGTTTTGCAATGCGATCAGGACTATTAAAATTTCTTAAGAATTTTGTGGTTGGTATTGTCTTTTAGGACCAATGACACTGGATTGCTTTCTTATAAAGAACATCTTCCAGTAACTAAGATCGTGATCACAGACACAGGCCGACCGCATTCAGAAGCAGCTTATAAACTGGGGCCTCTACTCTGCAGAGGAGACAGTAAGTGGTTACAATGTGTTGTAAGCATATTTGAGAAAAGTACCATGACTTAAAGTACCATCACTTCAGCATCATATTTCTTTCACAATAATTAATCAGACTTCTATTGTGAACATTCATAAGTAAGGACTGAAATATTCTTTCAGTCAATCAACAAGTAAGTATTCCCATGAAGTGCAAAGCTATGATGGCAAACCTTGTTAAGATTCTAAGAGAGGGCCGGGCGCGGTGGCTCACGCCTGTAATCCCAGCACTTTGGGAGGCCGAGGCGGGTGGATCACGAGGTCAGGAGATCGAGACCATCCTGGTCAACATGGTGAAACCCCATCTCTACTAAAAATACAAAAAATTAGCTGGGCACATATATAATATGTGGCGCGTGCCTGTAATCCCAGCTACTCGGGAGGCTGAGGCAGGAGAATTGCCTGAACCCAGCAGGCGGAGGTTGTGGTGAGCCGAGATTGCGCCATTGCACTCCAGCCTGAGTAACAAGAGTGAAACTCTGTCTCAAAAAAAAAAAAAAAAGATTCTAAGAGAAAGAAACCACTGGGCATCTCAATTTGATTAGTTCACAAGTACATTCCAGCATTCCTAAATTTCTAATTGCTGTTATCCACATAGGAAAGCCTCAACGCTATACACAGTTATTAATAATTCATGTGAATTTCCTACTGTTAGGCCTGGGATGAAATTAGAACATCAATGGAATCACGTCAGTTTAACCAAATATATTTCAAATGTACGTTTCATTTTTATTTCAGTTTGTGTTTGTGTGTGTCTGCGTTCATTTACTTTAAACCAATGGAACGTGCTGTATGCAATGCATTTACACTTTAAACCAGAATTTTAAAGTTCAAATATAGTTCCACTATATTTATGTCCTATATACATTTACGTTCCACATATATATGTTTTCTTTGATCAGGGAATGAAATGAGCATATGTATTCATTTATAGATTGTTACCCTCTCTGAAAAGAGTTAGGTTACAGACTGGTACATTAAATATATATGCTTTTAATATTTCCAGAACTTAACATGGAAATGGATGAAATATTTGTTTACATTAACACCATACCATAAAATAAAATTTTATTCCAGGGGCACAACAGAAGAAGAGAGAATCTGACAGTTCAGTGGATTTATGGAGATACAGAGCAGAAGTTGCTTAGTTAAAAAGCAAAGATGATACTGGCCCATAAAAATTATATATGCATTGTAAATACTGTTCACCATTATACTCACCATCTCTGATATGTATCATCTCCACTTTCTGTTCTACCAGTGAGCCTTACACAACCCCCATGAAGATGGCATGGGATATTTCATGGAAAGAAAAATTATGTGCAAAGAGATGAGGTTGTAAACTTCAGATGCATCCAGGAGAGTGTAACGATTTTTCATGGCTGTAGAGGAGTTGTTCTATACATTACACGTACCTTTCACTGCTTGCTCTGATCTTAACCCTGCAGGGACCCAGGCTGACTTGCTCTGCCTTCCTTATTCCATTAGCCAAAATCCCTGCGAATTAGTATGTTTAAAGTGAGGTCCCTACCAACTCTATCCCTTAGGCTTTGTTTCTTCCAGACTTCCTGTTATCATTTTAAGCGCACAACATCATTTCACTTAGAGCCGTGATTCTCCGTCCAAGGCAATCTTGCCCTGCATTGGACATTTGGCCATGTTTGGAGACATGTTTGGGCGTCACATTGTGGGGAAGTGGAGTGCTACTGGCATGTAGTGGGAGAAGTCAGGGATGCTGCTAAACATCCTGAGACAGGCCTCCACAACAAAGAATTATCTGGCCGCAAATGTCAATAGCACTGAGGTTGAGAAACTAGAGCATTGAACTGCTGTGACCATGGGAATACAGAAGAGAGTTGCTACATCAGCACTAAGAATTTACAAATAATGTCAAGTATTTAGAGACCTGCTAATTAATCTCTGACTTATTAATTAAACAGTAATCAAGTGATTGGCCTTCTTGCTCCCTGTATCTATTTTTAGGGTGGTGGTTCATCTTCACATGAGGTTATTTTCTGCATGAAGGATTAAGTACTATTTTTTGCATGAAGTGTTCTTCTTTATTTTCTCAGCTAGATGAGCAATGGCTTCAGAACAGTGAATACTCCTTTTTTCTATATGGGAAATCTGTACCACTTAAGTTACAATGCCCAAGGTACTTTTATTTTTTTCATTTCCAAATGTGGCTCACTGGGCAGATATGGGACAAATAGATATAGGATCATGCACAGTAGGCCTTGTAAGCAGAGAAAAGCTTCATGGACATTACTTTGAAGGCATCAGACTGCACATTGAGTAATTTAAGACTGAGAAATAACTAATTCTCATGATTCAGTTGAAAACCTGACAATCAGTTATAAACCTAAAGATCAGTGAAGTGACGTTTGATATAAGACAAGGGAAGGATGAGGGCTTGAACTTGGCAATAATTGGCATGGAGCTTTAAAAGGGGGATCAACTACGAGGTAAATTCGATATGATTTAGATGTAAGGTTGAGAGTTAAAGCCTTGGGGATGATCTCCAGCTTTCTTATTTATGATCTCCAGCTTTGTGATTTGAATAAAGCCATTAGTGTCATTCATTGAGACAGGAGATTAACACATTTTTTTTTTAACAGGAAAGTAAAAAGTGAGAATGAAAAAAGTAATATTTTCATTCTATCACATAAACTAGTGATATTGAAAAATTAAGATCTAGCCATATTTGTCTAGAAAAGAAGGTGAAGTCATGAGAAAGCAGGACAAATAAAACGTGAATATTAGACGTACTAGTGCCAGTTATGAGGTTACCCCTAATTCATTGATGTCTTTTTCAAAGTTTTCTTTTCATTTTGTTTTTAATATGGGTGAGCCTGCAATTTCATTTTACTGCTGCTGTTATTGTTGATATCAGAAATCAATTAACAAACTAGGAAATAAGAGAAATTCCTCAATGGTATAAAGGACATCTGTGAAAATCTGATAGCTAATGCCGTACTTTGAATAACCAAAGATATAAATGATTTCCCTTTAAGTTTAGGATAAAGGCAAGAATGTCTGCTCTCACTACTCCAAATCAATCTATTACTGATGGTCCTGGCACATTTAATCAGTCAAGGAAAGGAATTCAAAACGTTTATTAGGTTGCTGCAAGAGTAATCAACCCGATTTTAATGGCAAATCAGGTTGCCATTAAAAGAAGTGGCTAAACCACAATTACTTTTGCACCAACCTTAGATCAGAATAGATCAAATAAAATGTTTATTTACAGGTGACATGACTTTCTAGGTAGAAAATCTCATATAATTTATGATTTTTAAAAGTGAGTTTAGCAAAGTGATGGGATTTGAGTTCAATATACAAAATTAAATTATATTTCTATATGCTAACAATAAAAACTTATAAGTGAGATTCTAAAAGTACTGTTTTTATATTGGCACCAACAACATAAAATATTTTGTTGTAAATGTAACAGATTATTAAGAAAAAATTAAGGAAATTATATTTAAACATTTACAAGTTAAAAGATTTGATAAGATGTTAATTTTCCCCAAATTTATATATAGACTGAAAACAATCCCAATTAAAATCCAGCAATCTTTTTTGGGTGGTGTAGACATTGGAAAGTTTATTTTAAAATGTATATGGAATGCAAATAATAAAGAATGACAATAATGTTTCAAAAAATATAAACAAAGTTTGAGACACACTACCAGATTATAAGACTTACTGTAAAACTAACCGATATTCAAGGAAGTGTGATACTGGCATTACAATAGACAAATACATGAATGGAATTGAATAGAGAGCCCGGAAATAGACCCATATACAGATGGTTGCTTGACTGTTGACAAAGCTGTGAAAGAAACTCAACAACGAAAGGATAGAATTTTTCAAGAAACGGGATGGAACAATTCTAATCCATTTGAAAAAGAAAAAAAAAAGTGTCAACTCATACATCAAAGCAGATACAAAATTAACTCAAAATTAATTATAAACTGGATTAATTTTACAGAACTGGAAAAAACCACTTCAAACTTCATATGGAACCAGAAGTGAGCCTGCATAGCCAAAACAATCCTAAGCAAAAAGAATAAAGCTGATGGCATCACACTGCCTGACTTCAAACTATACTACAAGGCCACAGTAATCAAAACAGCATGGTACTGGTACCAAAACAAAGACATAGAGCAATGGAACAGAACAGAGCCCTCAGAAGCAACACCACACATCTACAACCATCCGATCTTTGACAAACCTGACAAAAACAAGCAATGGGGAAAGGATTCCCTGTTTAATAAATGGTGTTGGGATAACTGGCTAGCCATGTGCAGAAAGCAGAAACTGGACTCCTTCCTGACACCTGACACTAAAATTAACTCCAAATGCATTAAAGATCTAAACATAAGACCTAACATCATAAAAACCCTAGAAGCAAACCTAGGCAAAACCATTCAGTACATAGGCATAGGCAATGACTTCATGACTAAAACACCAAAAGCAGTGGCAACAAAAGCCAAAATAGACAAATGGGTATAATTAAACTCCAGAGCTTGTGTACAGCAAAGGAAACAATCATTAGAGTGAACCAGCAACCAACAGAATGGGAAAAAATTTTTGCAATCTACCCATCTGTCAAGGGGCTAATATCCAGAATCTACAAAGAACTGAAACAAGATTTATAAGAAAAGAAAAAAACCAATTCAAAAGTGGGTGAAGCATATGAACAGACACTTTATAAAATAATACATTGATAAAGCCAACAAACATATGAGAAAATGCTCATCACTGGTCATTAGAGAAATGCAAATCAAAATCACATTGAGATACCATCTCACACCAGTTAGAATGACAATCATTAAAAAATCTGGAGACAACAGATGTTGGAGAGGATGTGAAGAAATAGGAACATTTTTACACTATTGGTGGGAGTGTAAATTAGTTCAACCATCATGGGAGACACTGTGGCAGTTCCTCAAGGACCTAGAAATAGAAATA